ACCCGCCGCTGGTTAGGGACATTCCTCTAGTTCGAGGGCGGGCTCTGAATGTTCGGTTGGAGTCTAGCAATGGGGCTAGGATCTACCACTATAACATTCACAATTTTGGGCTCTCTAGTGGGCAACGGGACTCGATCATAGAGACTATCTCCAGGGACCTCGAGGCAGCTCTTGAGGACCCAGAGAGGATCTTGGTCATCGTAGGTGGCGACTTCAATATTTCGTCAGCGCCCCCGATAGCTGCTAACAAGGACTCCCCCATAACGATCACCCAGGGCCAGGACTGGAGGCGCTCGCAGTGCCGAGCCTGGAATCGGCTTTTCGGGAAGATGACGGAAATCGAACTGAATGAACCGACTCATTTCAATGCAGCTCGGGGCACGCTGAGTAGTATTGATAGGCTCTTCGTCTCGTCTCCAGGCTGGTGTCTGACCCGATCATGCGCGGGAGGTAGGACGCACGGGCAACCCGAGACCCTCGATGACACCCGCATCTCAGATCACGTGGGGATCTCGTTCACGCTGTCTCAGAGGTCAGCTACCAAGCCCAAGGAGCGTGCGATCCCGAATGAGATTTTTCGACGGCCTGAGTACCAGGCCAACCTGTCCAAGATTATGGCGCAAGTGGACACCTCGCAGCTCTCTCCCCCGCTCCTTCTCGACTGCCACAAGACGATGATGCGTGAAGCTGCCCGATCGACGCGCGACGCGATCATCCGACACAAACCTCATGACCCACTATCTCGTCTTATTATTTTGAGAACGATTTCGAGAGCAATTTGGCAGCAACATGTCCCTCTTGCCCGTCGTGTGATAGGCGCGCACCCGCTTGGCGCCAAGTTTACCCAGATCAGTGTTGACTGTGCCCGGGTGGAGCTCTTGGACCCTCCGGCCTTCCAGTTGGCAACCGAGCGGGAGCACGGCCGCCTGTTCGAGTCTGCCAAAGAGTTTGCGAGCAAGCGCTTGCAGAACTGCGAGATCGGCCCGACCAAGGCTAAGCTTCGCCAACGGATCCGAGGTCTACAGAAGAGAGGGCGCTTATGGGCCCCGTTCGACAGAAAACTCTGTCTCCAAGGGATTCGGCCCACTCCTGAACCAGAAAGCAACAACCAGGCGATCACGTCTCCCTCGGGCATGCTGGATCAGTTGGCTAGGCACTGGGCCCCAGTCTTTGAGGCCGAGGCTACTGATGGTGCCGCTGCTCGGCGCTATTTGGACCGCTTCGGTTTCGGAGCCGACTTGAGCGACTTACCGCCACCAACAGAATTTGATATTCAGAAATGTCTTCGGAGAATTGGTTCCAGCGCCCCAGGGCCCGATCAGCTGCCATATGATGCTTGGAGATACCATCCTGAAGGTTCCAGAGTCCTTTGGAGCGCGCTTTCCTGGATGTTGGAGGGTAAGTCGCTGCTATATGGTTTCAATGAGCTTCTTGGAGCATTTCTTGCCAAAGGAGAAGAGGAAGGAGATGAGGTTCAGGTTCTCCGTCATGCTAGCCAGACGCGGCCCCTCGGGCTGAAAAACGCCGACATCAAAATCCTCACAAATGTCTGCTGCCGTGCTCTCACTCGTCGTCTCCCTCAGCTGGTGCATCACACACAGAGGGGATTCATCCCGACGCGGAACTTTGGCGAGAATGTGCTAGAGCTAGACACAATGAGCCGTATCACGTCCATGGGGGAGGATGTGGGTACACGATTACCAGTTCTAGCAGCTTTTGATTTCGGACAAGCTTTTCCATCAATAAGTCATGATTGGATATTCAAGATATTAAACTCACTGTCTCTCCCTGGTCCTCTTCTTGGGTTCCTGGGTATGATCTATATGGATGTATGGTGCTTGGGAGGGATTGGCGGTGGGCTCCGTGTTCTCTTTCCCATTGGCTCTGGGATTATACAAGGGTGTCCAGCGTCAGGGATGCTCTACGCGTTGTCGTCGCACCCGTTCATGCTCCACTTCGAGGCGCTAGTAGAAACTCCCAAACTTGGACTTGTGAGGGCCTGTGCCGATGACAAGGGTAGTGTGCTTTTTAGGATCACAGCCTTGCGAAAGCTTTCTTTACGGCTTTCAGGGCCTGCAAGCGCGTGGCGAACTTAGACCTTAAAGTGAACAAGTGTGTGCTGGTCCCGTTGGTTGGGGATTTCTCTCCCAGTGTCGCGAGGCTGTACTCGTTGTGGCTCCAGGCCAATATCCCAGAATGGGCCGAATTTAAAATCGCCAGTTCCTTGAAATACCTCGGGCTTCAGATCGGACCAGGTGCTGGCCAGGCCTCATGGACAGGCCCTGTAGGCAAGTGGACTAGTCGTGCCACTGCCATCGCCGCTGCTGGGTCGCCGCCGCCAATCACTGCGATGCTATATGATAGTCGTGCGCTCTCTACTTTAACTTATGTCAGTCAGTTCCAGCGACTGCCGTATATCGATATTGCTCGCCAGGAGCACCGACTGTTTGAGATGATGTTTAAGATGCCGCACTGTTGCCTCTCGCGAGCCGACTGGCTTCACCTCCATGAGTGGGGCGGCCCGAAGGTGAAAAGCGCGGTTCCCATGAATGTGGCCACTCTGATTCGCTCTGCAATTCAGACCCTTTCGATTTGGGCCGAACTCTCGACGACGCTCGAGGAGAGAGCGCGCGAATGCCTGCCCATCGCCGCTTTCATCAGCGGCCAGAGGTTCCCCACTTTCTGGTCGAGCCCATGTCTCGTGCGCGAGCTGCAAGAGGCAGCGAACGGTTTTCCATCATATCCTAAATGGCAGCAAGCTGGTCAGCTCGCTGTCCGTGCCGCGGCTGCTGCATTGTGTGATGGCGACAAAGTCCAGAGAGCGGCCCTTGCTCAGCTGTCCTCCCATCTGTCCCCCTCGACCCTCGTCCGGGACTTCTCTGCCCGTCTCCTCCATCTCTTCCCAGGCAGTGCTCGAGCGATCGGCAAAATTCGTTGGACAGAAGTGCAGCGCTGCATCAATATGTGCCCACAGTCGTGGGGCAACAGTTTCGTGAAAACCCTCTCTGGAGGGTGGGCAACAGATAGCCGCTTTCAAGGTGCAGGTCACGCCTGTGTGTTCGGATGCGGGTGCGGTGACTCACAGGCTCACTATTTTGATTGCCCCCGCATGAGAGCTCTTTTGAGACGTGTACTCTATGCCATTTTTCCCTCACTGTCCGATCCGCCGTCTTGGTCTCAGCAATCCCACCCCTCTAGGCTTCTCCTATCTTGTGGCCGCGCACCAGTTATACTGTCTCGCCTCCTCCCGTCCCTCCCTCCCTTTGAGTCCTGCCGATGCCGATGCTTTGCTCCCGACTCTCTCCTCCTCCCTTGCGCCGCTATCCCGATCTGCTCTTCGAGAGAGCAGCGCGACGGGAACCTGCAGCACGCCAGCTTCCACACTACCGACTACTTCTTTCCAGGCGCGTCCCGCGGCTGGAGGCGCTGGGTCAGCTGCCGCCGCTGCTGCCAGTCGTCTGTCAGGATGAGGAACTTGTTCGCCTTGGTACGAGCGCAGGAGGAGGAGGAGCACAGGGCATGTCTTTGCTGCCATCGCGCAGGGAACAGGCCAGCAGGCCTGAAGGATAATGCCCAGCAGGTTCCAGGGCCTCGGCAGGCCACGTGAGTCCATGCAAAGTTGTCTACGTGCCACTCTCTGTAGTGCGGCGGGCCCACAGCGGCACCCCCCTCGCGTGGCGGCACCTGTAGCCTTTGCCTGGGCTCGGCGCATGACTACCTGTGCGCCCAGCCACCTTGGCTCGCCAACTGGCTTGCCATCTCGGCCTCCTCACGCTCGCTTGCGCTCGTTGGCCTCGCTGGCGGTGCTGGGGCAGCCCCGTGTACTGCAGCGTCGCCGTCAGGCGCCTGGCCATTTTGGCCTGCCATCCTGGCCTCCTCTCGCGCCTTCTTGCGCTTGTAGGCCTGGGTGGCGGTACTGGGGTCGCCCCGTGTGCTGCTATGCCGCCGCCTGCGCCTTACTTTTTGCTGTAGGGACCAGCTGCCCTCGGCCAGGCGCCTGCTGCTGCATGCACGTCAGACCCGCTCTTGGCTTGCCATCCAGGCCTTGCCTCGCGTCTTCTCGCGCTAGTCGGCCTGGGTGGCGGTGCTGGGGTCGCCCCGTGTGCTGCTGTGCCGTTGCTGGCGCTTCATTCTGGGCCGTTGGTCCAACTGCCCACAGTGCGAGCGCCTGACGATGCAAGCATGTCAGACCCGCCCTTTCACCCAGAAGAGGTGCGCGCTACACACTGGCAATGAGGCAGCCACAAGGACGCTCTTCCCTAGGTGGTTGAGCCGTGGTGATGTGGTGCGCGAGACCGCCAGTAGTAGTAGTAGTAGTAGTAGTAGTAGTAGTAGTAGTAGTAGTAGTAGTAGTAGTAGTAGTAGTCGTAGTCGTAGTCGTAGTCGTAGTAGTAGTCGTAGTCGTAGTAGTCGTAGTCGTAGTAGTAGTCGTAGTAGTAGTTAGTAGTAGTAGTAGTAGTAGTCGTAGTAGTCGGTCGTAGTAGTAGTAGTAGTATGTAGTAGTAGTAGTAGTAGTAGTAGTAGTAGTAGTAGTAGTAGTAGTAGTAGTAGTAGTAGTAGTGTAGTAGTAGTAGTAGTAGTAGTAGTAGTAGTAGTAGTTAGTAGTAGTAGTAGTAGTAGTAGTAGTAGTAGTAGTAGTAGTAGTAGTAGTAGTCGTAGTAGTAGTAGTAGTAGTAGTAGTAGTAGTAGTAGTAGTAGTAGTAGTAGTAGTAGTAGTAGTAGTAGTAGTAGTAGTAGTAGTAGTAGTAGTAGTAGTAGTAGTAGTAGTAGTAGTAGAGTAGGTAGTAGTAGTAGTAGTAGTAGTAGTAGGAGGAGGAGGAGGAGGAGGAGGAGGAGGAGGAGGAGGAGGAGGAGGAGGAGGAGGAGGAGGAGGAGGGAGGAGGGAGGAGGAGCAGGAAGAGGAGGAGAGGAGGAGGAGGAGGAGGAGGAGGAGGAGGAGGAGGAGCAGGAGCAGGAGCAGGAGGAGGAGGAGGAAAAGGAGGAGGACCCCGTGACCCCGAGGTCGATCGCCGGCCGCATCGGCCGCGCCAGCACCGCCATCCCCCGCGCCCTCATAAGAAGGGCGCGGAAGAAGCCGAGCCCTAAGGGCACGGAGGAGGCGCGGCCGCCGCCGTGCTGCCGCGCTCGCCCCGCCGTGCGCTCGTGCCACGCGTCCTCACTAGACAGTGGGCGGGGCGGCCTTCCATGAAGGCGGGGAGCTTCTTAGAGAGGAGGAGAGAGGAAGGGAGGGAGGGAGGGAGGGAGGGAGGGGAGGAGAGGGAGGGAGGGAGGGAGGGAGGAGGAGGAGGAGGAGGAGGAGGGAGAGGAGGAGGAGAGGGAGGAGGAGGAGGAAGGAGGAGGAGGAGGAGGAGGAGGAGGAGGAGGATGGAGGAGGAGAGAGGAAGAGGGAGGGAGGGAGGGAGGGGGGGGAGGGAGGGAGGGAGGGAGGGAGGGAGGAGGAGGAGGAGGAGGAGGAGGAGGAGGAGGAGGCGGAGGAGGAGGCGGAGGAGGAGGACCTCTTAGAATGGCCCAGGTTTTTTTTTTACACCCAAGAACCCCCAGCGGGTCCCGCCAAGAGGCCCGAATTGCCTTACACCAAAGGCGACTGCCCGCCACGCACGCGCGGCCTGGCCTGCTCAGTAGACCGACCCGCCGATCTCGTTCCTCAGGACCATGAGTTCCGGAGCACGGTACCCTCGTCCGCACTCTTCTTCTTGTAGGCGAGGGCTTACTTCCCGCGCCTCGCCTCCTTCAGCAGCTTCTGCACACGCTGCTCGAGGGATGTGACCCTGGAGATGGCATGGTCCCGCTCCGCAAGCACGTTCACCATCTCGAGGTCCTTCTCCTCTTTCTCCTCCTTCAAGGCGTCCAGCTTGGCCTGCAGCTCCCGCAAGCTGGCGGCTGCGTGGGTGCGCTGGTGCCCCGTGACCGCGACGCACTCGGCGTACTCGTCCCTGGCAGCCATGACCTGCTTCAGCTGCTCGCCCGAGGCCTTGATCTGCTCGCCCTGCTGCTTGTTGGCCTCAAAGGCCTCTGCCAGCTGCATGGTCTCCGCCGTGAGGGCAGCCAGCTTCGCCTTGAGGTCCTGCACTGTGTCCTGAAGCTCCTTCACCTGCTTCAGCTCGTGCTTGTTGCGGCCCTCCAGGTCGCAGTCCTGCATGCGGGTCGTGCCGCTGGTGCCGCCCATGCACACCGAGACCTGCTTGTCCTTCATCCTGGACTTCTGCTCGCTCTTCTCCGTGTGCCTGCCGTCCTTGAGTTCCTGCGCCTCGCTGAGGAGCACACGGATGTCGTCGATCAAGTCCACGTCCGGATGACCCGCCGCATTCCTGGCCTTGCTGAGCCAGCTCAGGCGTGCCGCCAGCTTGCCTCCCGCGGGGCCAGCCTCCCGCAGGAGCGCCTTGGCGTCCGTCATGTTCGGCTTCGGGCGCCCCGAGGCCTTCCCCACCGCGCTCAGCACCTCCTCCATGTACACCAGGAGCTCGCCGCCGCCGCCATTGCCACCGTCGGCTGCCGCTGCGATAGCTGCTGCTCCTGGCGCTGCCCCTCGAGCCGCCGCCGTGACCAGCGCGACCAAGGGTTTCCCTGCGGTGTCCATGGCAAGCGCCGCAGCGACCGCGCCGAAGGCGCCCGCCGCCGCTGGGCATCCCCCCGGCACAGCTTCCAGCGCCACGGGAGCGCGCCCGCGCACCGTCTCCAGACCTAGAGAGACCTGGCCGCCTCCGCGCGGCCCGCCGCTGCCTCGAACTCCTGCCGAATGGCTTGAGCCAAAATGGCCACGGGAAGGGCCCAGGGGCTCGTGACAGGACCTCCCAAAGGCCGAGCCTTCTCAGAGGATCCCCCGCCGCTTTGGAGAGGCGCCCCCTTCGCGCCACTGGAGGCCTCCCGAATGGTGTCCGTCTACTCGGACCCCACTGTGCCATGCGTCCGAGTCGTGACAAAAGTCGTGGCGGAGGGTTTGGGATGCCTGAGGCCTCCAGGGGTCCTCGCCGAGCCTGGGGGCTGTCAAGAAACGGCCTGGGGTGAAAACCGGCCCTGAGGCAGGTGTCGGGACGTCCAGGGACCGCGTCTTGAATACCATCAAGACATCGCATCCCAGGCATGCGATGCCCTGACTTGTTAAACATCCGGGTCCCTGAAGTCCCGACCCTTGCTCCGGGGCTAGCTCTGTGTCCCGAGTCGTTTTTTTACGGCCCCGAGGCCTGGCGAGGGCCCCTGGAGTCCGAACATTACCGACAACCTCCCGTCGCGTTTTTCTCTTTCACGACGCTCGCATTTTCGGAGACTGTTTTTTTCCTGGATGACCTGACCTTGTCGTTTGCGCAGGTCCGAAGGGGGTACGCAGTACGGGTGCGCGCGGGCATACGTGGGGCCGCTTAAAGCGGAAAGGTTAGATTATCGGCCGACGCCTCTCCTCCTCATTGGGCCCTCCAGGGGCCCTCGCTGGGCCGCTCAAAGCGGAAAGGTTCGATCATCGGCCTCCAGGGGCCCTCGCTGGGCCCCTGGGACCGTCAACAAAACGACTCAAGATGAAAGACTGGTCCCGGGGAATGCGTCGAGGCCTCTGGGGGTCGACGTTATGAACAAACCATGGTGTCGGGGATCTGGGCTTGGAGGGTAACGTTTTGGGGGGGGGACAGGCTCAGGGGGGGAAGGCATCCACCCCCAATCGCTCATTCATCGCCGACGTTGGGGCTCGATCGCCCAATCCGCCCAGGAACGTGCGGATGCGCTATCGGTGGCCTATCGCCCATCTCTCGGCGAGGTATCGCCTATTCCAGCTCTATGCTTCCCCCACTGAGCCGGCCCCTCCCCTAACGTTCCCCCCCATCACTTCCCCTGAGACTCGACGTTGCGAAAACATGCGCCATTGCAGAAACTCACGTCCTGAGCCCTAGACCCAATCTTTCCGCGGCACCTTTCGAGCCAGATTGACCCGTGATGGTCCTGGGGCACGGAGCCGGGCGAAAGCGCCCAGTGTGACAAATTGCAGCGCACCGATCTATCCTCTCCCTCGTCCTCCTCCTCCTCCTCCTCCTCCTCCCTCCTCCCTCGTCCCTCAACCTCCTCCTCCTCCCTCCTCCCTCCTCCCTCGTCCCTCAACCTCTTACCTCGTCCTCCTCCTCCCTCCCCCCTCCTCTCCTCCTCCCTCTATCGTTGCCCCTCAGCGCCAGGCCTCATGCGAGGGCGCCGGGGATGACGCAGACGACGGCATTGGCCTGGCGGAGCTGGGGCGGGCGCTGCAGCTCGTGCAGGAGAGGGCCACACCCCTGGGGCGGCGGCGTTCGGGGTTGGGGCTAATTAGGCATCTCGTCCTCCCTCCTCCTCCCTCTTCCCCTCCTCCGTCCTCCTCCTCCTCCTCCTCCTCCTCCTCCTCCTCCTCCTCCTCCTCCTCCTCCTCCTCCTCCTCCTCCTCCTCCTCCTCCCCTCCCTCCTCCCTCCCTCCCTCCTCCTTCTCCTCCCTCCTCCCTCCTCCTCCTCCTCCCTCCTCCCTCCTCCTCCCTCCTCCCCCCCTCCTCCCTCCTCCCTCCTCCTCCTCCCTCCTCCTCCCTCCTCCCTCTTCCTCTCTCCTCCTCCATCCTCCTCCTTTTGGGGGGAGGAGGGCGATGATCAGAGGAGGGAGGACGAGGGCTGGGGCGTGGGGTGGGGGAGGAGAAGGTCCCCCAGGGACGTCAAAGAACGACTCGGGATCAACCGGTCCTGGGGAAGGGGTCGAGACCTCTGGGGGTCTACGCTGTGAACAAAAGTCACGACGTCGGGGGTCTGGGGAGGGGCTGGAGCTGGGGAGGAGGGCGAGGGAGGAGGGCAAGGGAGGGGGAGGGGGAGGGCGAGTCCCCGAGGCGCCCGAGGCCCTCGGAGGAGGGCGAGGGATGACGAGGAGGCGGGGTCTTTCTCTACTTGGACGTGGTTCAGCGTCAAGCCCTGGCTCCCTTTGGCACGGAGTCGCCGACGGGGCCAAACACTGGAGCGACAAGTGAGCGAGAACGGAGGCCCGAGGGGCGGCGAGGAGGATGGGGGAGAACCAGGGGGGTGGGAAGTGGGAGGGAGGATGGGGGGAAGTGGGAGGGAGGGGGTGGAATGGTGATGGGGAGGGATAGGTGGAAGAGGAAGCGAGGTGTTGGATGATGATAACGGTGATGATGGTGACGATACTGATGACGATGATGAAGACGATGACGATGGTGATGATGACGATGATGATGTTGATGATAATGGTGATGGCGATGATGCTGATGTTGATGCTGATGGTGATGGTGATGCTGATGCTGATAATGATGATGCTGATGCTTCAGCTGCTGACGATGGTGAAACTGATGATGATAATGATGATGCTGATGACGATAACGATGATGTTGACGATGATGATGATGCTGCTGATGATGATGACGATGATGCTGATGACGATGATGACGACGATATGATGATACTGCTGCTGCTGATGATGATGGTGATGGCGCTAACGATGATGTTGATGATGCTGATGATGCTGATGCTAAGGGTGATGCTGCTGATGATGATGGTGATGCTGATAATGGTGATGTTGATTATGATGATGATGATGACGATGCTAATGATGGTGATGATGATGATGATGATGATGATGATGATGATGATGATGATGATGATGGTGATGGTGATGGTGGTGGTGGTGGTGATGGTGATGGTGATGGAGATGATGGTCATGCTGCTGCTGATGATGATGATGCTGGTGATGCTGATGTTGCTGATGGTGATGCTACTGATGATGATGATGATGATGGTGATGATGGTGCTGATGATGATGACGATGATGGTGCTGCTGATGGTGATGATGCTGCTGATGATGATGCTGATTCTGATGATGACGATGGTACTGATGAGGATGATGATGATGCTGACGATGCTGATGATGGTGCTGGTGGTGGTGGTGGTGATGGTGATGGTGCTGATGAGGAGGAGGAGGCGGAGGCGGAGGAGGACGAGGACGAGGAGGAGCGACGTAACATGGCTATACGATCACCTCTGCCAAGACGAGCGACCAACACCAGCAACTGACCCTCGAGAAGTAATACGAACTGTGCGTGACGAACCAGACAAATTCGAAGCAAAAGCAATGGTAAAAACAGTGGTGGCACGGGACCTATGACGGCAGAGAGACAAAGCGCACCAGGAACGTTGGTGCCGAGAATTTCAGCCGTACCATAACACCATCGACATGCCACCAAGCCCAAGCATGCCGCCGCCACCGCCAACGCCCAACCTGATGTGCTAATTACCAGTGCGGAGCGACCTTCGTCAAGAAGAGTGCCTACGACTCCCACCTCGGAAGGCACCACAAGAGCGGGACGCGCCCTACGAGATGGGCACAGGGCACAATGTGCATGGCATGCAGCTGCCAGTACCATACCGACGCGAGGCTGGTCAAGCACCTCCAGGCGACCCGATCACGCGCGGTGCCATGGATGACAGCCATGCCAGCTTTGAACGACGACGAGACCGAGGAGAACCGCCAGGCCACACGCGTGACGCAACGGCCCAACATCAGAGCAAGCAGGCCGCCCGTCTACGCACATTTACCGAGCTACAAGACGGACGCACTGCCGACATGCCAAAAACATAGATATGCGGCCTACGACAAGATACCACCGTTAGAGATACCACAATAATCGACCTCCTCATGCATATCAAGCCGGGGATACGTTACAACCCTACGTCAGAAGCGGCGCCCTTCGTGATCCCGACCTTCCAGAGGGAAGTCGCCAACCAGGCCATCCACAAGATCAGCGAGCTGATCGGGGCCCAGGGGGCTGCCCCGCCGAGCAAGGCCGCTGGCCAACTGACGCCTCTCGGCAGAGACGACAGGGCGGGGGCCACCAGATGAGGGGGACGTCACAGGCAACCGCCACATGTCAGGAGAACCGAGCGCCGCAGCACAGAACGACAGCGCCGCAGAGCCCTGGATGTCGGGCCAGGCACAGACAAGGCCAACGCCACAGGGCCGAGACTTACTTCCCATCACCGACACCCTCAGCAGGGACCTGCTCCTCTCCATCGACACGACAGAGTGGCCAACGAATCCGACGCCTGATCGGGGAGAAGCACACATGGCTGGCGACTGGCACCGCTACTACCCAGCGCAAGCCGGCACCAATTCGCATCATGATTGCGAGAGGCAGCATCCAGACAGCGGGCAACGACACCTACGACACGATTTACCCACCGCTGATAGCCGATAAGGAGGTGATCCACGACAACCTGGATTACGCTGCTAAGCAGACCGTCGACGCCTCCAAAACCACCCACACTGGTCCAAGCCCGACGCCGCTACAACAGCTGGCAAGCAGCGACACCGCCAGCCAAGCTGAAGCGACGCCACCATGAACACCGTGGCCGCCCTACGCACAGGTCTACAAGCCCGCATCGCCGACCATCCGGGTGAATCAGGAGCCTCCCCATTGTCACCCACAACCGCCGAGGCTTGTGCCTCACAGGGGGACTGGCCGATCGGCGGCCCATCGGTGCGTCACCCACAACCTACATTTTTGGCCAGTTTTTGTTCCACTAGACCGACAGCAGGCGCCATCCCTTTCTCGGCACGCCGCCGTGTCATTGCATCTTCGGGGTTCGTTGGCCCCGTGTATATGGTACTTGGCTCGTTCATGTGTCCATATCCTCCCTCACGTCTTGTGGCCCCCTCGTCGTCGTCGTCGTCGTCGCCGCCCTCGTCTTCCTCCACCTCCCCATCCCGCTCCGCCTCTTCTCTCTTCCTTTACGCTTTCCATATTTGCACAGCTTTGTGGTGTATTGCCAGGAACGCTTGTCCTGCTGAAAAAGAGTGTGCATCTGAATCTCCCTCCTTAGGGCGGCACCTCTACGATCGCGGTGCGTATTTGCATCAGTGTCGCTTCAGCCTCAAAGCAGGCGCGCCCTCCTCTTCCTCTTCGTCCTCCCCTCTCGCCTTGTTCTTCGGGCTTCTCCTCCTCTTCCTCATCTCCTCCCTTCCCCTCCTTCTCCCCCTTTTTTCTACTCGTCCCCATCGTCCTCCACGTCCTCGTCCTTCTCCTCTTCCTCGTCCTCGTCGTCGTCCCCCTTCTTCCCCCTCCTCGTTATCCTCCTTCTCCTCTTCCTCCTCCCCCTCCTACACCTTCTTCTCCTGCGGTGGCATCCTCCTCCTCCTCTTCTTTCTCCTCCTGCTCCTGCTGCTGCTGCTACTTCTCCTCCTCTTTCTCCTCTCTGCCCGATCTCCCCTTTTCCACTTCTCCTCCTCCCCCTCGCCCGTCTACTCCTCCTCCTCCTTCTCCTCTTCCTTCTCCTTCTCCTTGTCCTTTTTCTTCTCCTCTCCTTCTCCTTCTCCTCCCTCTTCCATCTCCTCTCTCATCCTTCCTCCTCTCCTTCCCTCCTTCTTGCTCGTCGTCCTCCTCTCCCTCCCTCCTCCCCTCCCTCCTCCCCCCTTCCGATCTCCCCTCCTCCACCGCCACCCACGTCAGGACGCTGAGCGCCTGGACATAAATGCCGGGGAGGGAGCCGGCAGCGTCTGGGGGAAGAGGAGGGTGGATGGAGCAGAAGGAGGGACCAGGAGGGAGGAGGGAGCAGGAGGTGGAAGCTAGCTAATACGGAAGCGTGATGTTGATGCTGATGCTGATGCTGATGCTGCTGTTGATGATGATGGTGGTAGTGGTGGTGGTGGTGGTGGTTGTGGTTGGCGGTGGTGATGATGATGACGTAACGCAGGATGATGGAGAGGAGTAGGAGGAGGAGGAGGACGGGGGATGAAGAGAACGTATGAAGATGCTGCTGCTGCCGATGATGATGATGATGATGATGATGATGATGATGATGATGATGATGATGATGGTGGTGGTGGTGGTGGTGGTGGTGGTGATTATGATGAGGATTAGCAGCAGGAGGAGGACGAGGAGGAGGAGGAGAGGGGTGTTGAGGGATACGAGATGTGGTTGGCGATCATTGTTATTATGGTTACGAGAAATCGTAGTAGTAGTAGTAGTAGTAGTAGTAGTAGTAGTAGTAGTAGTAGTAGTAGTAGTAGTAGTAGTAGTAGTAGTAGTAGTAGTAGTAGTAGTAGTAGTAGTAGTAGTAGTAGTAGTAGTAGTAGTAGTAGTAGTAGTAGTAGTAGTAGTAGTAGTAGTAGTAGTAGTAGTAGTAGTAGTAGTAGTAGTAGTAGTAGTAGTAGTAGTAGTAGTAGTAATTCTTGTTGTTGTAGTAGTACTGGTAGCGGTAGCACAAGTAGTAGCAGTAGTAGTCGTAGTCGTAGTAGTAGTA